ATGTGTGTGTGTGTATATATAATATATATATTATATATAATATATATTATATATTATATATATATATATATATATATGTATATATATATGTATACACACACACACACACACACACACACACACAATGTGTATATGTGTGTATATATTATATATATATATATATATTATATATATATATATATATATATATATATATATATATATATTATATATATTGTATATATATATATACACACACACACACACACCACACACACACACACACAATGTGTGTATATGTATATATATATATATATATATATATATATATATATATATATATATATATTATATATATATATATGTATATATATGTAACACACACACACACACACACACACACACACACACACACACACACACACACACACACACACACATGTGTATTTGTGTGTATATATATATATATATATATATATATATATATATATATATATATATATATATATATATGTATGTATATATATATGTATACACACACGCGCGCGCGCATATATGTATATGTACGTATGTATATATGTATATATATTATATATATATATATATATATATATATATGTATGTATACATATATATATATATATATATATATATATATATATATATATATATATATATATATATAATAGGGTACAGGGCATGTATGAGACCAGTGTCAGATAATAAAGACTCATGGGTTGAGGGTGGGGGTGGGACCGCATCAAGGATCGTTCTAACCCTTTCTTGAATGACGTAATCTGTCGTAAAGGTAGGAAGTGCATTGAGAGATGAAGATGTGTAATGGATAGAATGGGAATGGAATTCAGTTTGAGCAAGACAGAGTTCCGTTCAGTTCAGTAAGAACCGCTAAGACAGTAGGCCTACATGTGCGTGAATAAGAGGGAGGAGGGAGGAAGGTGTGATTGGAGGAGAGGTCGTGGATGTAAACGTTTAAACAACTGAGTCCATTATTCTACACAATGAATTGTGGTTAAGGTAACGAAGAGAGTGCAGACAGAGTAGAATAGGCGGAAACGAGAGATGTGTTGTAGTATTGTTAGGAGGCGTTGGTGATGACAAAGAGACGGAACTAAGGACGGCAAAACCGAGGATGATGCAGTTTTCGTAGAGTGATGAGGAATGACAGAATTAAGAATAAGTATTAGCGGGGCAGCATTGGTAGGACGGTTTGGAGGCAGAGAAGGGCGAGAAGGAATGAGCAGAGTGGCGGGTATATTGCGAAGAGGCGCTGGGCAAGGCGCCACAAGCCCGGGGTAGAAAAGCGCAAATAGGAGGTTCATTATGAACGAGATGAGGGAGGATATGCAGGGTGTGTGTTGCTGTAGCAAAAGGGGAAATGGAGACGAATGATCTGCTGTGGTGACCCCGAATGAGAGCATTTACTTCTCTTCGGAAGTAAGACTAATTCTGTTCGTATTTTGAGAATGTTTATGAAATATCCGTGAAGACATTCAGTTACATACTCATAGAGGTTGTTTCTTACGACCATTTCATCATTTTAACCCAAGGCCTGCTTGGAGTATGCGGTATTGATAATTTTAGAGAGGCAAGTTTGTCACCAAATGCCACATCGTTGCCGAGCTGACCTTCGGTTTGATTTCATTTTGTACTGACTGCTTTTGTTTCTTCGATACTTATTGGAAAAGCAATTTAGATTTTTTTTTTTAATAGTTTAAATGGAAAGTCTTCCAACTACTGATTATCGCTTTATCATGAGGATGTACTAGCCAAATGGAGGTTGAGTGGGAATACTTGGTGGATGATGGAAAACTGTTTGGTATCTCTTGTTTATAATTACGAATCATTTTCTTCTACGATGAAAGGTCATACAATTTCATCAACCTTACATCCCTTACTTATTAGCTGTCTGCTCTTAACACCTATTCTTCTCCTTTCACTCCAAAGCGTAGTAGGTAAACTAAACAGCTATCATCTTTCACTTTCAACTTCAACTCCAGATATGACGACGTAAAGATACTTACAATTGTTTGAAAGACAATGTTTTTTACTTTGACAAAGGTAGTTGAATTTAAGAAAAAACATACCAAAATTAATTGAAAGAAGTATAACGCGACAAATAGCGGATTAGAACCTTTTTCTTGGCCGAATGATAATGTGAAAGCAGTAACTAACCTATTGCAAATTCTTTCACTCTCGTGCCTGGCCTCAGAGAAAACAAGTAGATTCATCCAAGTAACACCCAGGGCCTCATATGCTTTAGGGTAGCCGACCATAGCGGATGGCTTACTCTCATAGTATTTAGAACAGGAGCTGTAAACAAGGTGTTTACGGAGCCCGACCTAGACATACATCAAGACAGCAAGTTACGAATACGCACACATACAGGTATAAACACACGCGCGCGCACGCACACATACACATGTACACACACACACACACACACACACACACACACACACACACACACACACACACACACACACACACACACACACACACA